CCAGAATTCCCCAGCCAGCCATGCTGGCTGGGGAATTCTGGGAATTGAAGTCCATACATCTTAAAGTTGCCGAGGTTGAGAAACACTGTCTTATACATTGATGGTGATGATGATGGTGGTGGAATAGTCTTATCAGAATCCAAACAAAACTAATGGAATGATGACTCTGCTGGCTGGGAATGTTGGGGTTTGTAATCTGCACATCTGGAGACCCTTAAACTGCATCAATGCACAGCTGAAGGCTCAAAGTGACTTCCTTGCTTTTATATTTTCGGTAGCCATTGCAGGTAAAACATTGCCTTTTAAAACAACCGCAACCGCAGTGCCCCCAGAGAGTTTCAAGAAACCCGTGTATCGTTTGGGCAGACCTCCATAGACCTGGGGTGGATTTCTACTGCACATGAGTTCTACAGTGCTTGCAAATGCCAGCTACCCTTAACAGCACCTGTGCTACTGGTAATGGCTTGAGACATGTAACTGGAGCTCATGGTGGGAAAGGGACTAATCAAGTTCTTGGATAGTTCCCCTTGACATGATTCTGGGGCAGAGCAAGGCAGCTCCTATTTCACTCCCTTTGGCCACGTCACTCCTCTGATGTTTGGCCAGCTGAAGGGGCAGGGATGGCAAGCCAGCTGGTACTCCCCTCCCCCTCCAGCCTCAGAGCTGCAGCCTGTAGCCTCCTCATTGTGGTGGATCAGCCACTGATTTCTATGGGGGAAAGATGGGTTGTGCAGAAAGCATTGCACCACAGGGACTCAAGCAAAATGTCCCAGATCTGTGCCTGGAAGATGGGAGGAAAGCTGGTGAGTTTAATTCCTGTCCCCATTCTTTGCATTTGGGGATGAGGACAAGAGCTTTGTGTCTGGCACGCAGGAAGTTCTGGGTTCAGTCTGCCCTTGGTGGAGAACTGTTGGTAGGACTCCTCTCTCTCTCATTTGTCCGCCCCTGGAGCAGCTACATGGTGATGGAATATCACTCCCTGACAATAGGAATAAGCTCATGAATTTAAGCTTAGTTTTCCTTCTTAACTACCAGGAACCAATGGGCATTCAGGAGAGGGTTATGAAAAAGGCACCTCCAGAAAAGAGAAATATCATTTTGGTGTGCAAGATCCTGTCACAGCAAGATGAGAGGCCCAGAGTAAGACCTTTTCCCCCACCCTTGCTTTTTTTTTTTTTTAAACACATCTCTTTCCTCTTTCAAGATACATGATTATCAAGACATACGATTATCAAGAGGCAGATTGGATTTATGCTGGAAGCTAACGATTGCCTACCCTTTAGGGACACGATTAAATATTTGGGGCACTGTGTGCATATCTGTGTGTGTGTCTGTCTCTTCATCCTCTTGTATGAGATGTGTCAGAGACCAGGCCGGACAGTCTAGGGCCCTCTAGATGGTCCTCAAATACATATCCCACAAAGTCTTACCATTGACCATTCTGGCTAGGGGTGATGGGAGTTGAAGTCCAAAATGGCAGGGGAACATCAGCTGGTCTTATTTAGGGGTCACAGTTATTCTTCCCAAGAATTGCATTATCTGAGGAGAAAAACAAAACCCATCCATCCAAAGCTGTGCAGTGATCTGTTAAGACTAACCAAAAAGTATTTATGCTACGCAGAGTGCCCGGGAATAATTTCCAGAGCAGGCACACATGTGTCAGTCAACACAACGTTTATACATTCTTGAAACAAAGAACTACATGATCATTGGCAGACAGTAATTATTCACATCCTTGGGTGGGCAAAACACTCCCAAAAGGTGGGTGCTACTGCCCGAAGGTGGGCGCTTGTTGTTGCTAAGGGAAATAGGAGTTAGGTGGTTTCTTATCGCTGTGGCTGTTAGCGCAGGTGAGCACAGCGGTTCCTCCTGGGGGGAGGTATCACTATACTGGCCCTTCTCAGCTGTACCTGGTAAGAAAGGTGTATTCAAAGAGAAAATAATTTGGATAGGTTTGCAACTTAATTATCTGCTCTGTTCCCATCACCGTGTGAAGATCAGATCTGGGCTATACATGTTTATGTTGTCTTCTTCAAATTAGCCCTAAAATCACACACTTTACATCATACACACACACAGAGTAAATTCAGCTAGGTCCTACTTAACTGGAAATCCTTGACATTGAACTTCAGACCACCTCCAGACAAAATCTGCTTTTGAGACCCATCTTCCCAGTACTGTGTTGTGGCATTTCGGCCATCACAAACTAAGTTACAAGAATGAAATCCAATTATAAAAACAAAGCCTGACATGGTAGAAATATATACTTTCTTAAGGTTGGGTTTGCAAGCCCAGGGGTGAACAATTTCTGCCTAGTAGCAGCGGCAAACCAGGTACACCTGCCTGGCTCTCTTTTGGCATCTTTTGTAGAGAACAAAGGAAAAATGATTTTATAGTGATCTCACTGATGCATTTTGCTCTTCAAGAGAGGGGCCAGAGGTTTTCCTGGGTTCTTGCAGAATAGAGCAGTGAAGCAAATGGTGAAGCAGATCCACATGGACGCAGGCGTAAATTGAAGGGAATATTTCCAAACCTGCCTCAGGACTGTCTTTGCACTGACTTTTAAGTTCTCATTGGAGAACTCTTAATTGATAAATACTTTTCACAACAGTGGAATTAAGGTGGGCACAGAAATCTGTCAAGTGTTTGCATTAGGGAGTGGAGGTTGGAGGCCAGGTGTAGGCTGCTGCAACATGGTGTGTGCTTGTGGGCTAAGTTCACTTCTGAACCTCACCCGAGTTCAGAGATCTAAGGAGGAGAAGGGAGAAGACAGGATGAAAAAGCCTGAAAGGAACCTTATTTGCAGCCATATGGAAAAATGGGAAAGGAGGCTGTTGTAAGTGGCTGATTTTAGAAATGG